TGAGCTTGCTGTCTGTTCTTTGACTAGCTCCAGGCCTTTGAAGAATCCCACTTTTAAATTCTCCCTATAAAAAGTAATTTAAGGAAAAAAGATACAATCCTACTGAAAGGCATCATCAAAACCATTACAGTCAAAACATTTGTTAACAAAAGGGATGTGTCTCCTTCCACGAATGAAGATGACTAAAACACACATTAAATACTATTGTGATAGGCACAAGTGAATATCTTGGCACTGTAAATGAAAGATAAAGAAATTATAAACTAAAATAGAAGAATTGATAGGGTATCAGGAAAGCAACATTGAAATGGAATTCTTATCCTGTGGACCCAAAAGCACTTATTTTTGGAGATAATAAGAACTATCAGGCAGGTATGGTGGCTCACGCCTGTAATCCCAGCACTTTGGGAGGCCAAGGCCAGAGGATCTCTTGAGGCCGGGAATTTGAGACCGACCTGAGCAGCGTAGCAAGACCCTGTGTCTACAAAATAATAAAACATTAGCCAGGCACCAGTGGCTCATGCCTGTAATCCCAGCACTTTGGGAGGCTGAGGCAGGCAGATTGCCTGAACTCAGGAGCTTGAGACCAGCCGGGGCAACATGGCAAAAACCCTGTCTCTACCAAGAATACAAAAAAAAATGGAATTAGCTGGGCATGGTGGTGTGCACCTGTGGTCTCAGCTACTCAGGAGGCTGAGATGGGAGGATCGTTTGAACCTGAGATAGGGAGGTTGCAGTGAGCCAAGATTGCGCCTCTGCACTGCAACCACAGGGAGAGAATGAGACCTCATCTCAACAATAGAATAGAATAGAATAGAATAGAATAGAATAGAATAGAATAGAATAGCCGGATGTGGTGTTGCGTGCCTCTAGTCCTACCTTGATGGGAGGATTGCTTGAGCCCAAGAATTTGAAGTTATGGTGAGCTTTGATCATGCTGTTGCACTCCAGCTTGGGCAACAGAACAAGACCCTGTCAAAAAATAAAAAACATAAAACATTGCAGTGTTTTAAAAATATAATTCTTATCCAGTGGACCCCAAAACACTTCTTTTTAGAGATAACAAAAGCTATAAATCAGAAAGTTTTTCCACCAACAGTGAAAGTGAAAATGTAATAAGGCTTGGATACATGTTGTGATTTATACATCTAATTGTGGATCTGATTATTAACTGAGTAGTTAATATTATTAAAAATAATGGTTAATAATTAACTCTTCCTCATGGTTATAATCCTTAAAACAAAGCACTTAGTTTACCTTTTGTCATTTGTACATTATAGAAAACACCGTAGAAAGTAAAAAAATTTTTCATTTTTACTCTAGGAGAATTAAGCACTTGGTAAATATATATATTTTTAAGCATCGATCCTCTGGAGTTCAGAATTTATCATTCTACACAGTATGAACCAACCACAAGTAGGAAAGTTTAGGGATGTTGTTGGTCCTATTTATTGTTGCTATTTAATTACATCCAAATCCAGCCATCAGTTCACATCTTGAGTTCTAATTGCCTTTGAGATTTCTATGCACAGAACAATAGCTGAAGTGACTCTTCAGAACAGAAGTCATAAATATAGGTTCTTCCTGATCTTGATGAATTAAAACCAAAAGAGAGGAGACAGTTTGTTTTGCGGGAAGCCATCTGTTTGTATACAGGGTTTGTATTCAAATTTTAGGAAATTAATCAAGTAAAAAGCATCAAAATTCACAACACAGAAAACAAGAGAACAAACATACACTTTGAGAAAACCAAGTCGCTAATGAGATTTTTGAACCTCTTTAGTTTAATCTTTTCTTGTCCCTAGGAGACCTCTCTGGTATGTGTACAGTACATGACGTTGCATTGATTCTTGCTACTTCAGGGCTCAGCACATGAATCGGCGACAAGTGCTGAGTTAATGAATCAGCAGCTGTCAGCACAACAACTGTACCAACATAATCCTTGATTCAGGGAACTTCTCTGGTCCTTGGTTAAAAGACAGCTAAGTTTACCAATAATAAAAATGTGTCCCAGATCCCTACATGTGCATAAAGAGGTGAACGTTTCTTTATGAGAGAAATGTCATTCAGAAACGTGAGCCAGAATTTCACACGGCTCTAGGCTTTGGGGTATATGCCATCTCCTTGCTTGTTGCCCAGAAGTTGTCAGGAGATAGGGAGACAGTTTTGGGGACTGGAGACTGGACATTTGACTCCGCACTCATAAGTTTGATGTGTAGGCTTAGAGCTAGAGCCAGCATTTTGGCATAAAATCATCACTGCTTGTTACCTAAGGCAGTAACTTCATTACTCATGCAGTGAAGCCCTCTGCAACCATCTGCACCCCATGGCAGAAATTCCTTAAATTCCTTCTGCATTTGAATATCTTCAGTTGACTACATAATCAAGAGTGCAAATTGCTATATTATGCCCTTAGACTTATTCTCTGCATGATTTGCATGTGCATATCATGTTTTCAGTGAAAAGAAAGGCAGAATCGCACAATAGACAATATCTTAACGACTCTTAGACATCAGTCTGTTCATCGGTTAAATAGGGATGATAATAGTACCTATTTGTTAGGAATAAATGAAATAATTCATGTAAAGTGCCTAACAGTGCTAAGGGACTCAGTTATTATGAATGTTCTTATTCCCTCAGCCTCTGTTATGTCTGTTATCCGTGTAAACACAATCCATGCTTGGTGGATAAATCAACAAATAAATGAATTAAAATGAAAATCTAAATTGCAGAATCAGTGGGCAGCTATTTAAAGTAGAATTAGGCAACATCTTTATCAAATAAAACCCATAGAGATATATTATTTTAGCCTGGGATCTGTTTCAGTCTTCATTTTTTACTTGCAGAAAATGTAAATTAAAAAACGTCAAATGACATGTTAAGTCAAAATGGGGCTACTCCTTGATGTTTGCTTAGAATAATATTTGTACTTACCTCTTTTCCTCATTTAAAATAAAATAAAATAAAAAACTTAATCACTATCTATTCCTGATGGTAAGTGAATCAACATAGCAGATTTTTATTATGTAGCCCTCAAAAGCCTCGGGTTTTCAAATCAGGGGTTTTCTACCCCATTACCTCTTTGCTGGCAGTACCTGTTGTTCACTTCTCACTTCATGGACATCACTCATTTAACAGTGACTGAAAGCACATTCATCTGTGTATCATGATCTTTTCCTATTTTTAGAAAACAGCAAAAGTTTATCCCACTACTAGATTATAACCTATTTAGGACAGAGATTTCCCTTTTCTAGCTATCTGAGAGATTCTCTTTCTGTAGTTGAATAAAAGGATAGAAAAAATGTTTTAAATACTCTCTTTAAAGAGGAAATTTTAGCATGGGTTATCAGTAAGTAAGACTCACAAAAATTCTCCTATCAGATATAATTTCAAAATTCCCAGCTGATATTTTAATCCGAGAGATCCCCTGAATAAATATTTATATACCTCATAGCCTGAAATGCAATCCCATGACTATGGGAGAGGATTAGTCAGTGTTCTTTCATTATTTGGTTTGGTTTTGGTTTGTCTTCTTTGTAATTGTTTGATTGGCTCGATGGGGTTTGATATATAGAAATTTCTGGAATATGGCCTAATTCAGAATTGTATTCTTTAGGCATGCATATGGCCTTTACATTGAATCCAAACTGCTTCTCACGTGTGTACTCTCTGACACCATTTATGAAATCATGTTGCACAAAAATAAGGGACTATGGGTGTGAATGTAGTTTTAGAGTTCATAAGCTGTCTCAGCTAAGCAAGCCCATTCTATTCCCAGTTTTAACTATAATGTAAAGCGTGAATTTTAAAGCTAATTGATGGTCCTTATTTTAAAAAAGTAATATACCTATATCATTTTGTCAATGATGTTCATTGCAGCATTATTTATGATTTCTAATTATAAATATTAGAAAAATGTCTAATAAAATTTGCTAAAATGCCAACTAGTTTCAAAATTGTTAAAACTATAAGCTTAAGGCAGATTATAAAAATATGTTGACAAAGGAATAAACATGCTGATATAATAATGAGGAGAAAAAGGAAAATTGTATGTGTTTCATGTTTTTAATGGTGTAAAACAAAACAACTGAAAAACTAGGAACCGAAAAGACTGGGGGAAATTATACCACCACGAAAATAGATGTTTTATCCAGATAGGATTTGTTTTTCTTTTTCTTTTCTTTTTTTTTTTTTTTTTTTTTTTTTGAGACGGAGTCTCGCTCTGTCGCCCAGGCTGGAGTGCAGTGGCTGGATCTCAGCTCACTGCAAGCTCCGCCTCCCGGGTTTGCGCCATTCTCCTGCCTCAGCCTCCCGAGTAGCTGGTACTATAGGCGCCCGCCACATAGCCCGGCTAGTTTTTTTGTATTTTTTTGAGTAGAGACGGGGTTTCAACGTGTTAGCCAGGATGGTCTCGATCTCCTGACCTCGTGATCCGCCCATCTCGGCCTCCCAAAGTGCTGGGATTACAGGCTTGAGCCACCGCGCCTGGCCAGGATTTGTTTTTCTATTCCTTCTTTTAATTTTCTTTCAATTTAGGAAATTCCCTGTGCTAAAACATTTATTACTTTTATAATAGAAAAAAAGAGCTCAACAAACTTCAAGTCAACATGGATTTTTCCTGTTTGCACTCAGCTGAAATGTAGCTTTCTAGTGAAACTGGAGAGAGATGAAAACCTTTTCAAAGAAGCAATTCAGAGCAGGCTGCCAGAAAGTAAGCCCTTCCATGAACATCTTTAGAGATCTCACCTCCATGCTCCCTGACTGAGTTCTGTTGCTCTGAGAAGGTTCACATAATGAGTGTTTTCATCTTTTCATATTAAAAATGACCTCCTGGCCTGAGTCTGAGCTTCCCAGATGACTGAGGTTTGCTGGTCACAGCCTCAGAAAAAATAAAGCAAAATTACTTAGTATTTCATCCTGCTCTTGGAGTCTACATTTTATTTCCTCACGAGCTCACAGACTTTATTGTTGTTATTGTTTGTTTTATTTTCACTCTCCAGATCCAACAAGGGTCATGGTACCCCCTTCCAGTATGGATGTCACTGTTGGAGAAAGCATTGTTTTGCCATGCCAGGTAACGCATGATCACTCGCTGGACATCGTGTTTACTTGGTCATTTAATGGACACCTGATAGACTTTGACAGAGATGGGGACCACTTTGAAAGAGTTGGAGGGGTAAGTATTAATATCAAACTATCCACAGGAAACACAGTGTGCAAATGAACTTCTCGAAACTGACTCAGACTAACTTGTTTGGACCAACTTAACAATATATTTAAAGTTACTATTTTAGAATTTTGTTCAAGTAATCTTATGGCAAGAAACTCTTGGTTAATTCCTGCTCCTTTTTGCACAATAAATGTGGCACTACTCATTGAACAACCTGTATGGCAGGACTGCTCTCTAACTGGCACCAATCCTACAGGTTAATTATTCATTCCTGTGTATGGATTAGAAACTAAGGGTCACAGACATTGGATGACTTGCCTTGGCCTCATAGCTACTGAATTGCGGAACTCTGCTTAAAACTTCAAATCTCAAACTCTGTGTCACATATCATATCATATACCCTAGAATCTGATTAAGAAAATAGCTTAAGGATGGATTCCTTCTGCTTTTAGGCTGCTAATTAAACTCCCTTTGACCTTGTAGAAGGCTCATCATTGTGAATTTAGGGTTTTCTTTCTTGAATTTGAAAGTCTGATTGGGTTATTTACTATCTCCAGGTAATTTGAATTCAAAATGATTGGATTTTCAAAATGCCTTACTTTCCATAACTATGTATTATCATTGAAGACATAACAAGAAGAGGTTAAATCTGAAAACAATTTATGTCTATGACAATCATTGTCAAAAAAAATTTTTCTGCTCTAACATAGCTCTATGGTCCCATTGACAATAAAGATTGACTCTGACTGCCATTTTTATGAAGGAGTCCAACCAAAACATAGCAGAATATAAAAATGGGGCCCTGACTTGAAGAGCCCTCCCCACTTTCTAGGCTGCCATAAAAATCTGTCCACCCCCTTTATGTTGAGAATAAGTGGCCTAAAGTCATCCATATGATATAGTGAGAGCATATTTTCCACCCAAGTACAGTACTAGCCCTGTTCATTACATTCTTACTACCTTTATCAAACAGGGTTTTTGCAGTTGAGTCACAGAACACCAAAAACAATTTCAATGACTGTTGTCTCAATTCTATGCCAAGAGTGGTATCTGATTGGTACAACTTTAGATGGCACAGGAAAGAAGTTAATTAGTTACATCAGTGGATGCCAGGGTTCACTAGGGATTATCTTTTGGGACCCTGGTTGAGAAAGGCTATATGAAATTGCCAAAGTAAACCATTCTGGACCTCTTTCACATGGTTCAGCTTAATAACATTGGCTAAGTGAGAGAAATATTAACTACCTCACAAAGACATTGGAGATATTGAATATCTTGAGGTCTAGAAAAGTACATAGCCCAATGTCTACCACAAAAGAAGTACTTGATAAACTTTAATGGTGGTATCAACTGAAGGAAGGGTAACATTGATTGTAATAACAGGAAAGTATAAATCGAGAACATTCTTCATAAATTAAGCTGAATGTTCTCACATTAAAACCAATTTCTTGGGCAGGAGAGAGATTAAAAATGCTAAATCTCAGAATGGTGCAAGCACCAGCCAATCCAAACAGATGCCTGAACAATCGAAGTGGATGTCCTACCATTCAGACACATGTAGCCTTTCTGCCAGAATGGTGCCAGGGCTAAGGCAGAAATAGGGACACCCTAATGAAGTCAAACACTGATGACCACCTTTTTGTAGAGACAGCCGTCCGTAGCGCCGCTCACATTCATCTTTCATATGGGAAATGTCTGTTTCCTCTGTTAAACTAATGCTAACACTAATCAACTCCTGCTGAGAAATACATAGAAAATTAAGAACAGCACAACCGCATGTGAGATCTAAGTGTATTAGCCACTAGGATCATTAATGTCTGTGGAGTCAAGACTTGATAATAGAAGAGAAAAGCAAGTGCAATTCTGAAGTCAAGCCTATTTCAGTTTCAGCTTCCTGGGTCAGCATGGTGGAGATGATGTTTGGTATAGAGTTAACCTATGGAGGTTTTAGGAAAGTTATTATTTCATTGTCCTCTGATACCCCCATCCCCACTGAGTATTCTGTCAGGAACATAACAGACTGCAGTGGTGGAAAATAAGCAGATGCTGTTGTTTTCTTTGGTAGGAACATAAAAAATGTAGATCTTAGTTAATAGTTGGGTCTGGATGACTTCAAAGGGAAAGAGAAAGTTATTGTGGTCTCCTTTGATGAGACTCTTACCTCACTCCTATTTTTTTCTTTGTTTCAGTTTTACTTTAAAAACACAAATCCAGTCAAAATGTGTAAATAACTAGAGTACTTTCTAAATCGCAAAATCAAAATTTTCTATTAATAGGTTGCCGTGCTCTGAAATATCCAGGCTACAAGTTTCTTTAACATTTAAGCCCTTGATGAATGAAGTGAATTAGTGAGATGGTGTAGGCATTTCCCTCAGGCCAATGTGCACCTTCCCTGCACACCTCCCCAGGGACATATTTTTTATTTAAACCTGTATTCAAAGTCCCAATATGTGAAATTTCTTAGGTAAAGTAACAATAATCTTAATAATGATGATAATAGTGATAATTCCTTATATTTGCAAAGTGCCTCATCATTTATCAAGTACTTTCTTATATACACTTGACCCTTGAACAACACGGGTTTGAGCTGTATGGGTCCACTTACATGTGGATTTTTTTCTACCACACTCAGATTGCAAATACAATATTCATGGGATTTAAAACCCACATATATGGAGGACTGACTTGTCATATACTCAGGTTCCAGAGGACTGACTGCATGACTTGAGTATGTGCGGATTTTAGTGTACTACAGGTCCTGAGTCCAATCCCCTGTGTCTACCAAAGGATGACTGTAATAGCTCCTTAATCCTCACAGAAATCTTGTCAAATAGGTTAACATTTATTTTCTCATTTTATTGAGCAATTATAAGACTTGATCTGTAAACAGTGGCATCTGGATGAGAAGCCAAGTGTTACAAACAAAAGACGTTTTGGGTTAACATACCATAGCTTTACCTGAATTAGATTTAACATCTTTGACATGTTTGTTTCACAAAGAAAATGGATCATGGCCATCAGTAATAAGTTTAGAGTTAATCTATGCTTCACAGTTTTCAGAAGATTTTCACATACACAGATTATCTCATTTGATTTTCACAACCTAGCACATAGGTCAATAAAGGTCTTTCAAAAGTCAGTAAATTAAGGCCAAGAGAGATTAAGAGATTTAGATGAAATCACACAGCAGAAGTCAGCCCAAGACAGCTAAGCATCAAAACTGCAGCTCTTCCTTCACTCCATGCTTTGGCATCTCTTCTAATCCTATTTCTAATTGGCAAATCTATCTCTTCCATTATCCTGTGAATGTGACACTCTGTGCTGAAATGATGGAGATAACCAAGTACATATTAGTTTTGAAATAGCATGAGGATATGGTCTTTCTGGATGCTAGTCCAGTGTTATTGTTAAGAACAGGGACTATATGGGTTCAAATCCTGGCTCTGCCATTTTCTAGCTATGTGACTTTAGGCAAGTCTCCTAACCTCTTTGTGCTGGAATTTCGTCATCTGTAAAATAAGGATCACAAGAATACCTGCCTCAGAGGACATGTGAGTGTTTAGTGAGTTTAATATAAGTAAAGCACTTAGAAGCTGCCTGTCATATAGTAAATACCATTAAGCATCATCCATTACTATCGTCATTGGAGAAATAGCAACAGAAGAGTCTGTGTCAATTTCCTATTGTATAATTTGGAATGGGAAAATGAAAGAGGGCCAATATATCCTAAATTATCTTTTCATCCATTACGGGTTTAGAATGAAGTGTAGTTTTTCAAATCTGGCCTCTAGAGTGGTCTCTTCCTCAAGCAGCTATTCTCCAAACTTTAGATTAACAGAACCGTGAACCAAACTCTAAGGTGTAGCAGTGTTCTTCAGGTAAAATGCTGCCTTTGTGATAGCCTGTGGAATCATCTCCTCACATTTATTAAAAGTACTGTGCTGGCGAACACTGTAGAAATATTTCCGGGGCACATAGACATCCAAACCAGGATGTAATTAGTCCTATTCATCTGCTAATCAAACATGCATTTGGCATTTGGAAAACAAATTAGCACCGTTCCATACTAGGTGGTGCGAGATTTCCTTGGAGAATCTGGTCTTCCTAATCCTTTAATTCAAACCTGGAAGCAATAAAAATGCTGGCTGTAAGAAAGGGTTGTGAGGCAAAATGCAGATACCTCCACATGTGGGCTTGCTTCCATTTTCCAAATACAGAGTTCTAAAGTATCAGAATGCCAACCAAGGCTCTAGGCTGAGGGCATTTCTGAAGAAATTCACAAAACTAGATCAAGAGCCATCGTAGTGCATAGTACTTATGTAATATGTAAGTTACATCCTTCCAACGTGGGTGGCAAACTGCTCCAGAGACTCAGAGAAGCCAGACACCTGAGGTCTTGTCGAAGATATGTTCTGAAAATGTTGGTGTTCTTATCTCTCAGGCAGGCTCACATATTTTTAATAGGCCATGGCTTGCATCACTAATGTTTTCATCAGCCAGTGTAAAATAAATCCATTAGTCACAGTGTCCTTCATGTGATAATGATATTTAGAGCTCATTAAAAAGTAATTGTAGCCACTTTCCCCTACTTTATCAGCAGGATTCAGCTGGTGATTTGATGATCCGAAACATCCAACTGAAGCATGCTGGGAAATATGTCTGCATGGTCCAAACAAGTGTGGACAGGCTCTCTGCTGCTGCAGACCTGATTGTAAGAGGTATTGGATTTTGTTGTTGTTGTTGTTGTTGTTGCTTTTGAAATATTTTCATGATCTCTACTGTAGCACAGAGTTTCGAAAACCTCAGTGGTTTAGAATTATGGGAAAAAGTCAGGCAGACGCTGAACATTGTAAACAGTGGCTAACAGTCCACAGAAGTTTCTGGTGCATGTACAGTTCCTCAGTGGGGGTTGTCAGAAAATGCACCGAACACATCCAGTAACTTTACACTAAAAGGATAATCGAGTAAATCGAGTACCCGATTACAGCTGTTGGAGTTGATATGACCTTCTAGAACAAATTTAGGTGAACAAAAGCAGATAGTTTAAAGAGGGATTAAACTGCCCCTTTTTATGTTTCCTCTGGGCTAAATTGAATTAGTATAACAGCAGCTTAAGTAAAATCATCAGGTTTATCCGAGTTTCCTTTTTTTCCCTAAACTTCACAGTGCTGTTCAGTTTCTAAAACAGGGTTTTGGGAGAGGACACTTCCTGACTGCCTGGGATGTAGTAAATGAGCTAAGAGTTGATGTAAATACTAACATTTTTGAGATTCTTTTGAATATTATCAGCATGACCTAATTTGGACCTAAGAGCTATGACGCCCCCCCCCCGGCTGAGCAGCACCAACTGAGTACATTCCAAGCCTCAACAAACCAGTTGGCAAAGGAACTGTAAAAGGACTTTTAAGAAATATTTTTAAATGAAAATTAAAATCTTCACAAACCAGTGTACCTAACAGAATCCAACCTATGCATGCTCAGGGGTTTTCTATAGCATTAAAAGAGAGGCCAATCCAGACATCAAAATAATCTCTTGGCTAGAATCTCCTTCATCAGAATCCCTAACTGTTGGTGTTCACGCATCTTTGGCCAGCTGACAGAGTGCATGGCAAAACTTCGAATGCAAGAAAATAAAAATTTAGGGTATGAGAATTGGAGGCAGGGTTAATCTGCATGCACAGAGAACAAGGTATTATTGGAAGCCATAAAGAGTGTTGCTATATCCTCTAGGCATAATGTAAGGGGGGGAAATGTGTGGGAGTTAGCAACTTAAACTAATTGTGAAGAGAGGTTCCAGAAAAATAGCGATTCCAATGTGTCTGCTTTGTTCCCCTTTAAATTGCCTTTAAAAAACCTTTCAGTAACAGTGCAGACAAGGGCTAGAAATGAGAAAAAACTTTCAACCTAGGTAGATCTGCCCACAGAATAACTTATAGAAATGTGTTTATTTCCATTTTAAAATACACCAGGCTGGTCTGCCCTCCCCTTGGGGACAAAAGAATTCTGTTGTTGAAAATTTATCCTCTATTTAATTAGGATAATGTTCAGATTAGCAGTTAAAACACCAATAAATTAGACTAATGAATATTTAAATCAGTAATACTTGAAGTTCTTAAATGATATTGTATACTTCATTTCACAGAAAATAACATTAAATACCAGGAGGAATTTGCAAATGCAGTCTAAAAGAAAATCTAATCAGTTAATAAGGCCAATAAATTAATATGCCATTTAAAACCATAATCTTTCATGTTATCTCCTTCGGCTCTGCCCTTGCAGCTCTTCTTGTACATTACAGAGGGGGAGGCAGGAATGTATTTCACCACCCTGAAAGAGATTTTCATATTTGAAACCTATAGCAGCTTTGAGTCTTGGCTCCAGATCCTTTGATTTGCTGAGACCTGCTCTATTTAACCTATAGCACTCTAATGGCAGCCAGAAAGTCCATCCTTCCTGAGGGAGAAGCAGACCCCAGAATCAAACTAATCTTCCCTTTGCCGTTGCCTGAAACAAAATCTTCTACATGCCCCTGAGTTTGTTATCGTTTTGTTCAGAGGGCAAACATTTGTACACTTTTCATTTTGAAAGAGGGAGTCAACTTCCCTAAAACAAAGTTGGTAAACATTCTGTAAGGTCATATCTATGCATGGGTAGGAGCGGGTGGCAGGAAGATAAAAAAAGAAACAAATCCAGGAAAGTACCATCTTCTCTCCAGTGGCCAAATTCATACCAGCCCTTCATTTCCTTCCTATAGAGAGGCCAACAATGGACTCAGATATTTCCTATCGATTTAATTCTTTGAAGAGTTTAGAGGGAAACACTTTTCTATCTGTGGTACTTAGATTTTAAAGGCCATCAGTGCAGCATCCATAAAGAAAAAAGGTGGGGAATGCTTGGATGAGAAAACTGGTGAAAAAAATTATATTGTCTTCAAGACTTTATCTGGTTAAAAGGGGTTGCAAGACCAAAGGTTACATTAGCTCTATCTAGGTGACATTAGACTGACACGCTGAAATGTCACCATGGAAAATTAATCAGTTCCAGGATACAGATTTCCAGACATTTCATTCAAGAGTGGGAGGGAGAAGATAAATTTAGTCTCACCTGTGGGTCTATAAAAGTGATTTTTAAAAAAGGAAAGAGAATTTAGGGCATCACGAAAACGGTGAAGGAGTGAATCCTAGAACAAAGTCTAACTTCAGGAAATTGCTGTTAACTTTGCACTGCTCTGTGAGAGGTCTCTTTTCTCCCTGTCCCTGTGACATGGCCCGATAGTATTTGGGTAGTACATTTGATTGCTAGACTGGGGATTAGCAAACCCTTCCTAGGAACATCTCCTTATGCCCGTCTAATGGGCATGAGGTTTGTCATTATGTCCCCTCACCATCACCTTCCCTCCTGAGGTGGTCAATTGTACCTTGTTAAAAATGCATTTGACTGCCTGGTAAGAGATTTTCATGTTGGAAAGTGGGATAGCTGCGGGTCTTTGCTCTGGCTCTGTTGATATTTTGTCTTTGCCTGCCAGCTGCTTTCCATCCTTCTAATTCTTTATTAGTTTCAAGCCTTCATTTAAATCTGATTTCCTCCCCTTTCCATGGTTTAAGTACATGGACAGAAATAATGAACATCAGGAAGAGAAGCAGAAAAATACAGGTATGACTTGCAGAAACTACAAATGAGAGTCTTTAGAATAAAGCCCAATTTTGAAATTGCTTTGAAGAAGGGAGCGCTTTGACTCTTGCGCACCGGCCATTTTCACAGCAGTTCCCTTGCACGCAAGTGTGTGCTCATATGGGATGCAGGGTTGGGGGTGAAGAGAGTGCTAGTAATTACAGTGCAGCAGAATGTGCAGAGCAATACTGTAACCTTCAAAGTTTTAAAGCCATTTGTGCTTAAATCTATATTCTCAGTGGTAGAAATAACCGTTTCCAGCAGACTATACTCTTTATGAAATCAGAAGCAATATCTATCTTTTCTCACTACCGTATCCTCAAATAACAGTGTCTGACCCATAGTGGGAACCTATAGATAGATAATGAATTAATGAATGTGGGCTCTTATGGTACCCCAGTATTCCCTATTAAGTATTCAATTGTAATTATTTGTTTACCTATTCGTTTTTCATATTAAACTCTGGGACCCTAGAAGGAAGGGGCTGTGTCTCATTCATCTCTGTGGTTTCCAAGCCCAAGAAAGTTCCCAGCACATAGTAGGATTCAAAAAGGATTTGACAAGTGATGAATCTGTGAATGGGTAAATAAATGAATGGGTCAATGCCCCACTCAAATATGTGGATCCTTCACTTGGGTGTTTGAATACACTGTTTCAGTTCTGGGGGTCTTACTCTTTCCCAGGTCCTCCAGGTCCCCCAGAGGCTGTGACAATAGATGAAATCACAGACACCACTGTTCAGCTCTCCTGGAGACCCGGGCCTGACAACCACAGCCCCATCACCATGTATGTCATTCAAGCCAGGACTCCGTTCTCCGTGGGCTGGCAAGCAGTCAATACAGGTACCATGTTGGATGCTTGGCTCAGAGACATTGGGAATTCAGCATACTGGACACAGCACTGTGGCAAGGAACATCTAAGTTCTCATTCAGACACTACTACAAATGATATATTGCGGCAGTGTTTCCTTAACCTCGGCCCACTGTACTATTGTTAGTATTTTTCTTTATATCGAATCACAGTTAGGTTTTTTTAAACTCATCCTAAGGAATAGTATCTGTGAAATGGTATGTCCGGGCCAGATTTGGTGGCTCACGCCTGTAATCTCAGCACTGTGGGAGGTGGAGTTGGGTGGATCATTTGAGCCCAAGAGTTCCAGACCAGCCTGGGCAACGTGGCGAAACCCCCTCTCTACAAAATATACAAAAATTAGCCTGGCATGGTGGCGCGTGCCTGTAGTCCTAGCGACTCAGAAGGCTGAGGTGGGAGGATCGCTTGAGCCCAGGAAGTAGAGGTTGCAGTGAGCCAAGAAGACACCGCTGAACTCCAGCCTGGGCGACAGTGAGACTCGATCTCAAAAAAAAAAAAAAAAAAAAAAGTCTGTTGTGCTGGTTGTATATATATTTTCCCTAACACACATTAAAAATATATTAGTTATAAAAATAAAATGCATCAATCTGTATTACCTAAAATCATCTGTGTAGCATTGTGGTACACTTTGGAAAGCAGTAGATTCTGCTTGACTATAGTCACAGACTTTGTAAAGTTTACACAGTGCTTTCAAAAAACCAGTAACTGAGGATTATAGGGAGCCTCCTCACTTGCTGCCCTTTTTTTTTTTTTTCTGAGACAGGGTCTCACTCTGTCACCCAGGCTGGAGTGCAGTGGTACAATCACAGCTCACTGCAGCCTCGACCTCCTGGGCTCAAGCAGTCTTCCCACCTCAGCCTGTTGAGTAGCTGAGACCACAGGCACAGGCCCCCACACCCAGCTAATTATCTAAAATTTTTTGTAGAGACAGGTCTTGCTGTGTTGCTTAGGCTGGTCTCAAACTACTGCACTCAATCTATTCTCCTGCATCAGCCTCCCAATTTGCTGGGATTTCAGGTGTGAGCCACTGTGCCCAGACCCAGTTTTTTAGATGGATAAATTTGGGGATAAAAAGACTTGAGATTTCTTTTTAACCAATTTTACAAATTCTTTAAAACAAAAATTGTTAGCAGTAGCACTTCCATCGTGTTTCCCTTTATTACATTTATACAGCACTTCCTATTTTTTAAAAGGTTTCACAGTTATTTCTCTTTGCATCTAAAATAATTCTTATACCATCCCCACTTCTGTCAGTACCTCCAAATTGACTCATTTTCTTATTTAGATTTCATTTAAGGATAAATTGGATGAACAAGTAGTTATTACAAACAAGATACACACTCCTCTAGACAGCAAAAGTAGGCTATATGGCCTTGATGTTTTGAAGGAGAATATGCCCAGTGTTTCGCAATTCATATGAATCTTGTTGATTTTAACCCCAGTTTGTTTTATCATTTTTGTTTACCAATCCTTAGAAACGGGTTTCTGTGTTTCCTACTGTAATCACTGAGTCACGGGTGTGCTTTAAGAAGGAAAGATGAGAAAAATATGAAAGTTAGGAGATGAAGTCTAGTCCTGACTGCTAATCAGCTGATCTCTATACATCTTCGTTTTCCTCTTCTGTTAAACGGACACAGTAAGAATTGTTTAAGAATAAATATAGGCCAGGCGCAGTGTCTCACACCTGTAATCCCAGCACTTTGATAGGCCACGGCAAGTGGATCGCTTGAGCCTAGGAGTTTGGGAGAAGTCTGGGCAACATGGTGAAATCCCATCTCTACTAAAAATACAAAGTGGCATGCACCTGTAGTCCCTGCTACTCGGGAGGCCGAGGCACAAGAATTGCATGAGCCTGGGAGGTGGAGGTTGCAGTGAGCCGAGATTGTGCCACTGCACTCTAGCCTGGGCGTCAGAGAGAGAGACCCTGTCTCAAAAAAAGAAAAAAAAAAGGGAAAAAAAGAATAGAATACTTTTGCCTTTCTCAGAGGACAGTTGAAATAATGTGTCTGGCACTACATAATAAATGCTGAAACACATGTGAAGGGGTGATAGTAATGATTGAGTCGGGTGGCTTGGGGCCTTGTGGACTGCGTGTCTTTTATGTCATCTGCTGGTATCTGATTAGAGTGTGTTAGTTTCACATACAGAGATAGTTCTGAGATTACTTCACTGAAACAACTGTTGATGCAGCTAATATCAGAACACCTACACTGCCCTGAATGCAATAACCATGAGGATGGGTGGATGTTCCTATCTTCCTAGCGTAATCTCTGCATTTGTTTTCTGAGAACCTATGAAACAGCCACTACCTTTTGTTGTCTTTCAGTCCCAGAACTCATTGATGGGAAGACATTCACAGCAACCGTGGTGGGTTTGAATCCTTGGGTCGAATATGAATTCCGCACAGTTGCAGCCAATGTGATTGGGATTGGGGAGCCCAGCCGCCCCTCTGAGAAACGGAGAACAGAAGAAGCTCGTGAGTAGCACCCGGGATTCAGATCATCTGTTCTGCCAGCTGCTGTTCCTTAGGAAAAGGCTTTGAATTCTTGCTGCTCTTCAGCGCTCATGCTGCTCTGTGTTAGCACACCCTTCACCTCAAATGATTATAATGGTAGAAATCAGGCCAGGAGAAGCCCAGCTGAGCACGCAATGGGTTTGAATCCAGAGTTAAGCTTCCTTCATTAGGTCCACCTGTACAGCAACAGGCACACTGCACTTAGTCCTCTCAAAAGCCAGCCATTTCTTCATTGGTTCATTTGTCACCGAGATTCTAACAAGATTTCAAAAAAGAGTGCCCCACATTTCAAATAAAATTATCTCACATAAGTAACTAATGGCAAAGAATAATTTCTGGCTGCTGTGGGCACAGCAACCGTGGGGTAGTCCTGCTTAGAATAGAAATATGAAATAAACCAATTTCTTCAGAAATGTTCACTGAGATTTTCTTAGGGTATAAACCATTCCCAGAAACTAAGTTTCAGAACACCATGCTAATTCAAACAAGACTAGCCAGCAATTTAGTATGGCCCTCTACATATACAGCTTGAATGAGCACGGGGAGAGAAGAACAAGTTCATCAGGGTCAGCCGTACTTTTACTTAGCTGGTGTAAAGCAGGAGGCCTACATGTGCAGTCTTTATAGAGTTCCCGGCTGTAGACAGGCCAGTGTGTTGAAGGAATAATAAGGTCTCTACACAAATGGGAGTTCTGACCCTACTCTCAGAAAAGCAAAAACTCATCTAGATCTATTTGATTGGCTTTAACCAAGGAGACATACCCAGTCACCAGCCACATGCCCCAGTGAGACATTTTTAAATGCGGCCCAGAGTCTTTCAGTTACATGATGACAATATAGCTAGTCCCCTGCTTTCTTTTCCCCTTCCAAAACCATAATTGAATTAATTCCCTTCAGCAGTCTTCAGGTGGAAGCTCACATAATTTCCTCCCTTTTACAGAGAAAACTCGGGGGTCAAAGAGGTTAAGCACAGTGAGCCAGGGGTCAACTCTGTCTGCCACTTCCTTCAACACTCAGATCAAAACTCTCTTCCTCTAAGAAGCTGTTTGCCCACCTCAGCTCTGGGCAGGCCGCTACTCCGGAAGGCCCCCTGCGCTTCTCCATGCTGACTGTACCATACTCTGGTTGTCCACCTTGCTCTAACTGTGGTGCAAGCGCTCTTCCCCTCCAACCAGAATGGAAACTCTGCCTGAGCAGAGCTTGTACTATCTTTCCTTTGTGTATCATCACGTGGCTAATAAACGCAGAACCAAACATTAGAACCAGACCTCAGTCCTTTCCTCCCTTCCAGAACCCCTCAACCTCTAGGGATGGAGCTGAACAATTGGTCAGACATGTCAGATAACACGTGTACCTTGTTGAATGAGAAACAGGTAATTAATAGCAGTCTCCTTGGTACATTTCACTTCCTCGAGCTGACGCCGTGGGTCTCTTGATGATGCTGTTGCTGATCTCCAAAGACAAAGGGGTATGCCTCAAAGTAGTCATTGAAAGTGAGTCACCTCTGCCAGGCAACCTTCCTGACCCTCATTCGCCTTTGCCGCCTGACATGACTTGTTTTTTGTCTCCATGTGCAGTCCCCGAAGTCACACCAGCGAATGTCAGTGGTGGTGGAGGCAGCAAATCTGAACTGGTTATAACCTGGGAGGTAAATGAATCACAGAATAAAAGGAATGTACATGCATCAAAGCTATTTTTTTTAATTTTCCTCAATGTTAGACATAGCTGGGAAGTTTCCTCCTCTGTTTTTAACAGTGAAAATTCATTTGAGTACAGACACTCCCTCTCACGTAGCTAATGGCTAGCAGGAAGGATGGCGCTTCCCCATCCATCATTGAGGCAAGTTTTAATTCAATCCATTACAGTAAAAACAATCATGAAGGGAAGACAACACAAGTTACAAAAAAAAATAAAGAAGGCTGTTTCACAGAAAACTGGTTTTTCTTTTCTTCCTGAATTGCGGCACGGCCAATTGATTTAAAGCGTCTGCCAGCACTAGAGTCAGTGCACCAGCACAGTTTCCTGGCAATTGGCTTTGCTTCCAGAAGGGGCCTCTTTTAGGAGGTATTTTTTAAAACAACCTGGAGGAAGGTTAGTCACCAATTTATTAGAAATTGGCTTTGAGAGAAGAGGTGGGAGCTTTAGAAAGGGTTCTTCATGTTTTTGAAAGATTCGAAACAGCCCCAGAAATTAAAATCTTTCATTTAGCCAGAGCACAGCAGTGAAACAATCACTCATCCTCCCAGCTGAACTCTTCCCTCTGAGAGGGAGGATCTTCAGCCAAGATGGTTTTTCTTCCTTCAGTGAGATCTTTTGTCTATTTGGCAATGGAGGAAGCTTAGTATTAGAGAATACGTGTTGGAAATACTGTTTTTCAGGAGACCGATGTCCTGTTATTTATTTATTTTTTTTTTACAATCATTTCCAACCATTTCAGAGCTGGGTCTGCCCCATCAAAGAGCAAGCACTGGACTGCAGATCTTCATTACGTTTTCAGCCCTGCCCAGTACCTTATAACTGTTTAAGACAGACTGACTGCAAGCCCTAAATTTAAAAGACTCTTAACAAAACCCCAAATAAGATGGGTGGAGAAGGATATAGACAAGAATGTTACAAGGGAAACAAAAACGATTTTTGCACTGGAGTCAAACTACTATGATTTCTGAAGACCATCTCCCTTCTTTCCCAGACGGTCCCTGAGGAATTACAGAATGGTCGAGGCTTCGGTTATGTGGTGGCCTTCCGGCCCTATGGTAAAATGATCTGGATGCTGACAGTGCTGGCCTCAGCGGATGCCTCCAGATACGTGTTCAGGAATGAGAGCGTGCGCCCCTTCTCTCCCTTTGAGGTTAAAGTAGGTGTCTTCAACAACAAAGGAGAAGGCCCTTTCAGTCCCACCACAGTGGTGTATTCTGCAGAAGAAGGTATGGTTTATGCTGCCCAGATCATTGACTGTTAATATTTCTTCAGTTCTAAAATGTGGATTTTAGGATGTACAATCAATTTAGCATGGTACATATATATTGAAGGCATACCTGATTGGAGAAGAGGATAATGTAAAAAGTTTGGTTCACTGTCCACCATGAATCTCTTAAAAAGATAGCAACTGCTCTGTATATGAAAACACATGGCTGTCTATTATTGATTCCTTTGCTAAGGACCAGAATTGCAAGTACCATATAAGATCTTCATATCTGTCTATATGTTATCATTACTTTCAAAAGAATTTTATTTTTGCCTCTAAGTGAATATCAAAATATAATTTGCATTTTCTTACCACTTGTATTTTCATAAAGCATATTGTACTTGTGGCTCATGCCTATAATCCCAGCACTTTGGGAGGCCAAGGCGGGCGGATCACCTGAGGTTGGGAGTTCGGGACCAGCCTGACCAATATGTAGAAAACCCATCTCCACTAAAAATATAAAATTAGTCAGTTGTAGTGGCACATCCCTCTAATCCCAGCTACTCAGGAGGCTGAGACAGAAGAATCGCTTGACCCCAGGAGGCGGAGGTTGTGGTGAGCTGAGACCACACCATTGCACTCCAGTGTGGGCAACGAGAGTGAAACTCCATCTCAAAAAAAAAAAAAAAACTCACTTATTAAAGAAAAGAGTAAGCCATGAAGCAGTGTGATTGCACTCACTATCATCCATACCATCATTATGTTTAACATTTCTCACACATTATTACCACTTCCATGCTATCCCTGCTGTCAGGATGCCTCTCACACAGTCTTCGTGACCATTGGAGTTTGTCTATGTTGTTTTAAAGATGATGCTCGGAATGGGACCATGTTAAAACATCTGAAAGGTGAATCATTGATTTAGAGTCAGTGAAGATGCAATAACTTATTCCCAATTAGAGAGATCATCCCCTTAGATTCAGTAGCCCTCCATGATCTAGCTGCTGCCTCTCTGTCTGACTGAGCTGTTGATGCCTTTCCCTGCATATTTCATGTTCCAACCATTGCCAAAGGATTTACAATTATTCAAACAAGCTTCAGCCCTTTGCATAGGCTTCAACTTCTCTTAGATAATAGTTCATCTCTCTGGATTATGAAAATGAGACGAAAAAGAGAAAAGGACAGTCAGCTGACATGACTAATATTCAGGAGAGCTGGGTGACACTTCGGGTTCACAATGCAATCTGTATTATCTTGGATAAGTCACGTATACTCTCTGGGCCTCAGCATCTTTGGTTGCAAAGGAGAGACTAGACTGACTGTTTCCCAAATTTCAGTTATTTTTGACAGATTTCTGCCATAGCTGTGTATACCATTTGTATATGTTAACATTTTTCTTTCAATAGTCTTCCCTAAAACAAAAATTAGTGGCCAAGCACAGTGGCTCATGCCTATAATCCAAGGACTTTGGGAGGGGGATGTGGGAGGATAGCATGAGCCCAGGAGTTTGAGACCAGCCTGGGCAACATAGCGAGATTCCAGTCTTTACCAAAAAAAAAAAAAAAAAAGCCAAGCGTCTTGGCACATATGCATGTGGTCCTAGCTACTTAGGAGGCTGAGGTGGGAGGATGGCTTGAGCTCAGGAGGTCAGGCTGCAGTGAGCCATGACTGTGCCACTACATTCCAACCTAGGTGACAGAGGGAGACCCTATTTCAAAAAAGAAAAATAAAAGCAGTTTAGCCATGTCATAAGCAATAACATTTGTGAGATGCTAATTGAGAAGGATCTGTGTTAAGGGAATTGCTGGTTATGAAAACTTGATGCTTAAACTTAAGTGGTTCTTCTCTTCTACCCACAACTAAATTCAAAACCCAAACACTGGACAAATATTCACTACCACCAACTCCAGCTATCAATCACTGCTCCTCTGCAAAATGAGGGTTTGGCTTACAATCATTAAGGACGATTCTATAACCGTGAATTATTTTAACTTATAACGCTAGTATCTACAATCCTGTCCTAATATAGCTGATAGAGTAATAACTCTCCATATTCATCTACAGAACCCACCAAACCACCAGCCAGTATCTTTGCCAGAAGTCTTTCTGCCACAGATATTGAAGTTTTCTGGGCCTCGCCACTGGAGAAGAATAGAGGACGAATACAAGGTTATGAGGTAGGCAAGACATATGTGCCTTGGGTCTGAAAGAGAATTTGTACCCCTTGATGAGTCCTCCAAGTCACATTCTTATAGGAAATGACCCACATTCCCACTTAGAGGCATCGGTTTTAGGCCTGGCCTCCAGCTGAACGTTGATGGAAGCATTGAATACTCAGCTGTGAGACTACCCTTTTTCTATGTTATATTCTAGAGGTATTTTTCGAAGTATATGCAAATGTAAGCATTTATGGGATGGTTGGCAAAATGAGCTTTGACTTCTGATAATTCCCAGGATAGCTTTGACTCAAAACAAACATGGGAAAAAAGAAAATAATGAACAGGGGTTGTATCAATCTACCATCTCACTAGGAAGCTGAGGACAAAAAAGGGACCCTTCTTACCGTGGATAATTTCTCAGGATATACGCAGTCCTTTGTCCTGATAGCTCTGCTCATAATGTGGTATAGAAAACTAACTCCATCATAAGAATTTGCATACAAAATCACCTGATGACATTGGAAATATCCCCACTGGGTATGGTTTCCAAGGTCTTTCTGTTTATTTTCTTAGGTTAAATATTGGAGACATGAAGACAAAGAAGAAAATGCTAGAAAAATACGAACAGTTGGAAATCAGACATCAACAAAAATCACGAACTTAAAAGGCAGTGCGCTGTATCACTTAGCTGTCAAGGCATATAATTCTGCTGGGACAGGCCCCTCTAGTGCAACAGTCAATGTGACAACCCGAAAGCCACGTAAGAACAGACTTGCTCAGAAATATTTTGGGGACTCATCACACATATCCCAAGTTTATTCCTTATCCCCACCTCCCAATGGTCGTTTGCATACTAATTAGTAGCATGTGGATTCAAATTTCCCTCAGCATTTTAAGTGAACCTTTCCGTATACCATGCAAAATTCATTGCTCTGGAGGACAGAAAGAGAAATGTTTTTCTCCTCACTGGGAAGGGCTGCTTCTTTTAGCTATAAATGTTAGGCGACCAACTGAATCTTTTTCCATTTGCAATGCTGTATCTCATCAGATTTTAGTGACCTTGAAGACACATATTAGTGCAATAGCCCATTAAATTGCCTCCACTCTCGAATTCTAGTAAGGAGATATTCCTCAGAATCCATTGAGACTTAATAATCTGTGACTTCGTATATCTTAATTTTTTTATAGCACCAAGTCAACCCCCTGGAAACATCATATGGAATTCATCTGACTCCAAAATTATCCTGAATTGGGATCAAGTGAAGGCCCTGGATAATGAGTCGGAAGTAAAAGGATACAAAGTAGGTAATTTCTTTTTTGCAGAGGCACCTAATCCTGCTGTGAGCCGGGGCAGTCTCCTCCATGAATCACACAGTTGTCTGCATTGTCAGTTTCCCTGGTGATGCTCTGCTACCCTGTAGGAATCGCTGCCTCCAACGTGGTTTGATCTGAGTTGTAGTCTATGGCAATTGGTCAGGATTTACACAATCACCTTAACTTTAGGTTCAGGCAGCATCAATCAGAAATGAGTAAAGACCCTGTGTTTGGGTCTCCAGAAATACCCTGAAGAACCACTTTTTAAACATTTCTACTGTCAGCTTTATTTTGCTCCTGTGTCAGTTAGTTGTATTTTTTTTTAGCCAACTTAGTAGCCTCCTGATATTACCAATGATTAATCATTTTTGTTCATATGTTTCTATAGTCAAAAGAGTTTTATAAAGAAAAAGAAAAAAGAAAAAGCAGCAAAATTGGAGAAAATGTTTGCCTGACCCCATAAATGTTGGCCTGTCTTTAATGAGAAAATGAAAAGAACATGTCTATAGCCTTGTTGCAGCAATTAAAAGGGGTTATAAATATCTTGCAAGGTTTCCAGCTACCTGTTGCTACTTCACAAACCAAGGGAAGCTAGGGGCTAAAACAGCAACAATGTATCATTTTTTATGACTTTGCAATGTGGATAGGGCCAGAATGGAAAGATTTTAGGGCTGGAATAACTAAGATGCTTCTTCACACACTTTTGGCTTCTTAGGTGGGATAGGTGGGAAAGCTGAGGTTGGCCAGTGATCATGCTCTCCAGGAGGTCTCTTCCCACGGATAACTTGGGCTTCCTCACAGTATAGTGACCGCAGAGTAGTCAGACTTCTTACATAGTTGTCAGCTTCAAGAGGAAGAAAGCAGAATCTGCCAGCCCTTTTAAAAGCTAAGGATGAAACTGGCTACTGTGAGGCCAGCTCAGATTAAAAGGCAGGGAAAATGGATTCTACGTCTTGTTATGAGAAGCAGCATGCATGTGCAGAGAGGGAAGGAACTGATGTAAACCAGATGCATGCAAACCAGAGCATGCATTGTGAAGACTGACTGCATTGAGAAGACTATGACTGCACTGAGAGAAGACTGCATTGAGAAGACCGTAACTGCACTGAGAACATGCATTAAGAAGACTGACCAGGAGGCTGGCTCAAAACATCTGAACAGTGAATGAACTGAGGATATACCGCTGGGTTAAAAAAGCCTCAGAAGCATGATAACTACTTCACATATCTGAAGGGCTATTATGGTGGATGACAAGTAGAATTTTCCCTCAAGTTTCCAAGAAACAAAACTATGGCCAATGAGTGAAGGCTACATGGAGATAGATTTTGGCTCTGTTTTGCCTTCTAGCAGTCAAGCTTGTAAAAAATGAACCCTCAGAGGGTTCCCCATCACTGGAAATAATCAAGTATACCTGCATCACCACCTAAAGAAAGGTCAGAAAGGGAAATATAGTGTGAGCATTTAATTATATAGCATTTTGTTCCCATTCAGTCCTAGAATGTTATGAGTAAATGACTTTTAAAAAGCTTTTGAGAAACCATAATAATTGGGTGATGCTGACAATGTTCTTGAACTCCAGTGGGTTTGTATTAATTCTTCAAAAGAAAAATGGTTGTTGCAATTTTGCAAGTCCCAGTTTTCATTACAAAAGAAAGAGTATAAACCTGGGACTGGTGGCACATTGCCTGTAGTATCAGCTACTTGGGAGGCCAAGGCAGGTGAATTGTTTGAGCCCAGAAGTTTGAGTCCAGCCTGGGCAATGTAGTGAGACCCTGTCTCTAAATAAAAATAAATAAATAAAATGGAAGATTATAAAACCAAACCTAAGATTTTGAAATGTTTTCAGGCAGAAGAGCTTGGAAGTCAACATTTTCCGGAATCTTGTGAAATGGTCTTTTATCTACCACAAAATAAATGAAAGGATGGCAAAGTCATGCCTGCTAGATTATATAAATGGCAGAAGCATGCGGAGTGGGAGCGGTAGCTAACTAGAGAGTGCTTCTGTCAAAGCGTACCAGCTGCTACTAACTTCCTGCCTCTGTTGCCTTATGAAAAAGTGGGCACAATGCCATAAACATGCCAATGTTTCAAAAGATGGCAGCAAAAAAGATTGTTGTGTAAAATCTTCCAATTGTAAAATGTTGGCAACACTTCTAATTTTGTTTAGTTTTGCTTTTAAACAACACTTGAGGATGCAGACCACGTAAAATTGCTATGCAGTCTGAACTAAGCCTGCAGACTGCTGGCTTGCCACATTTTTGCACAGAGATGTTGAGAGTAGGACATAGGTAGTGCTGTCTGGCACCAGGTAAAGAACCTAGGATCATCCGAAAGTAGTAGGCAAAGTCAGAACTGGAATTGGGATTTGACATAGAAGGTGGCAAAGCCTTGGATAATGTGACGAGGGAAGGACTTGGAAGACCCTCCCTGTCATGGACTATTTTTCTGCATCCACATGGCACAGTGACTTATATTCCACTAGTAGAGAAACACTCCCTAAGAACTCGTCTACAGAACTGTCACTGGGTCCTTTTCTAAAACTAAACCCTTCTAGGAGGGTCATATAATATATAGCAGAAAGAGATAGGAGTCTGAGCATGGTAGTGCATGCCTGTGGTCTCAGCCACTCTGGAGGCAGAGAGGGGAGGATCAGTGGAGCCCAGGAGATCAAGGCTGCAGTGAGTTATGATCATGCCACTGCACTCCAACCTGAGAGACAGAGCTAGACCTGTCTAAACTTTAAAAATAAAAAAAGAGATAGGAAACCCTGTTTGGGGTCCTCTATTGGCTATGTGACTTCAGATAAATCACTTAAACTCTTTGGGACTGCATTTACTTTTTTATTAAAAGAGAAACTTCTAGTGTCTTCATTTTTCTCTGACCTTTTGCATATCCCCTGTATCCCTAATCAGCCACTCAGCTTTCAGTTTTAGCTTAGAAGCCTTCCCTGATGGGCAGAGATCCCTTCATTTGCAAGATTTTTTTTTTTTTTTTTTTTTTTTTTATGAGACAGAGTCTCGCTCTGTCACCCAGGCTGGAGTCCAATGGCACCATCTCGGTTCCCTGCAACCTCCACCTCCCAGGTTCAAGCGATTCTCCTGGCTTAGCATCCCAAATTATTGGGAATACAGTTGTGCACCACCACGCCCATCTGATTTTTGCATTTTTAGTAGATAGGGGGTTTCAACATGTTGGCCAGACTGGTCTTGAACTCCTGGCCTCAAGTGATCTATCCACCTTGGCCTCCCAAAGTGCTGGGATTATAGGCATGAACCACCGCACCTGGCCTACTTGCAAGATTTTTTTACAATATAATATTTTCCGTCCTCTTGGGTAATTGTAATTAACTGACTTGCTGTGAATCCCCAGACTGGGGGCTTCCAGAGGACAGTGCCTGAATTGTCACTATTATTTTTCCAGCCAAAGATATATTCACTATAGTTGTATTAGAATGGAGATTTCATGTCCTGAACTGAATTATTAACCTCTTAGTGTGAAATAATATGAAAGAGTTTATTTGATCAGTTTTATCTATGACAAAAGAGATAAGGGGTGGGATAGGTTGGAAGATGAATGAGGGAAGAGAAGACTAAAAAGAAGAAAAGAAAGAAGGCAAGAATGAAGATCAGGCACGGTGGCTCATGCCTGTAATCCTAGCACATTGGGAGGCTGAGGTGGGCAGATAACTGGAGGTCAGGCCTAGCCAACATGGTGAAACCCCATCTCTACAAAAAAAAAAAAACAACAACAACAAAAACTAGCCAGGTGTGGTGGGGCACCTGTAGTCCCAGCCACTCGGGAGGCTGAGGCAAGAGAATCGCTTGAATCTGGAGGCAGAGCTTGCAGTGAGCTGAGATCTCATGGCTACACTCCAGCCTGGGCAAGAGAGCAAAAATCTGTCTCAAGAAAAAAGACAGAGAGAGAGAGAGAGAAGACAGACCCTTACAACTTTTAATGTCTGACTCAGGCTAACACTGCCTGATCATCTTGACATTGACCACCATGAAAAAAAGCAGATGTGATGTGGGCAGAATTGATTTCACCAAAACAGGGGAGACAGTGAAAAAAAAAAAAAGAGAGAAAAAAAAATTCCTTCCAGGTACACCCATAGAACAGGGAGACAAAGCACAATAAAAATGTAGAAAGCTTAAGGAGTCCCTGGGAATTACACACTTTCCATGGGTGAACTTGTAACTAGATTTGAAGTTCCTTTTCAGGTTACTGCTGAAAGAAAACGAATGGGCCAGGAGCTACCTAAGCTATTTCAGGCAACCAGGCAAATGTCAGCTGAGCAAGAAATCCTAGAGATTATCTAGGCAAACCTAGATAATCTTTTTTTTCCCACCACTTTACCGATAGGAAAACTGAAGTCTGTTGAGTGTAGTGACTTGGAGTGCCTTCAGCTTTCTCAAGGGCAGAGATCAATATGCAAGCTTCATGAACTGTGTCTAAAAGATTATAGGCATTTTTAGAAGAAAAATTGGGTAATGATTATTATTTAGTTGCCACTTATTTATACTCATGTTCCCTCTCAGAAACTCTCATATGGCCTTGCATTGGTAGCATCTTTCCAAGAAGGTCCTTCTGACACTTATTTTCTCAACACTTTTGCAGACATCTAGAAGATTCATTTGAACAGTATAGAATCAAGCAGGGTATGTGATGAGAATAAAGCAGGTCAAGACAAACACAAGGGCATCTCATTTTCCAGGAAAGATCTGCTGGGCTTAGTGTAGGACTTAGGGAAATGACTTTTATTTTTATAAGAATAAAATAGGTTGGGCACTGGGGCTCATGCCTGTAATCCCAACACTTTAGGAGACCAAGACGGGTGGATCACCTGAGGTCAGGAGTAGGAGACCATCCTGGCCAACATGGCGAAACCCTACCTGTACTAAAAATACAAAAATTAGTTGGGTGTGGTGATGGGCGCCTGTAGTCCCAGCTACTTGGGAGGCTGAGGCAGGAGAATTGCTTGGATCCGGGA